GTGGGGGTGGGGGGGGTTGGGGGTGGCCCCCTGCTGTGAACCTTGCTGGTTGCCATCATGCAGAGTTGTCTTGTCCTCTGTACCCACCTTCCTCCTCCAGAGTGACTGAGGCTTGGAGGGGACTGAAGCCTAGGCAACCTCTGTCCCCACTGTAAGGGTTACTCCGTTTTCCCATCCTACTGCAACATCCCCACCTTCATGTAGAACAACTCAGCCCTTACTTAGCCAGAAACGGCAACATTCCAGACTCCGTTATTCATTTCGGGGGATCCGCAAACCTTGTGACTTTGCTCAGAGTCACCATGTTGATACACGGGTCAGCATTAGGGTCATCGTTAGTGGGCCTCTGTGGAATCAAGAGTTGTCACGCGTTGGGGGGGAAGTCCAGGTATGTGGCTTCTCCAGGTAATACCAATGCCAACACATTCTGGGGGTTAGGTGGGCCCACATCGGTGATGCCACGCATGAACATTCCCTTTTACCGCCAGTTTGCCGAGACCACAAAGGACAGGAGGGCCCTTTCAGTAAGCACTGACTGCAAAAGCAACACAGAAATGTGGATCTGTGGGGTCTCACAGGGATCTGGGAGCCTGTGCCCCACGCATGAACTGTCCCAAAAGCCGCAGTGAGGCACTTGACAAGATTCCGCCTGGGTTTGTGGACACAAAGGAGAGATGGGATTACCAATCAGAGGGCGGGCTGAGATTACCAAAAGGACTCACAGGTCCGGGGAATGCTGGTTCTGGGAGGTGGGTTCTAGAAGCCTTAAGGCTCCCCCGGGAGTCCACTTTGGGAAGGGGGGGCTCTCACGATAATCCCCACCCTCTGGCCTTTCCAACCCACCTCACCTCCAGTCTCCTAGCCCTCGGTCCCCACAGTAACTCCAGCTTTAGTAAGACCGCCAGCCCACAGAGAGCTGGGAGACTGACTTTAGGCAGATGGAGCCCATGCCTGGGCAAAGCTCCTGCCACCAGGGTGAGCCAAGCAGGGTGGCACTGAACCCTGCCACATGGCAGTGAGCCAGCAGAACCAAAAGGCCTCATCAGGGTCCTTGGAAAACATGTGAGCGAGGTGAAGGCTGGGAAGAGGCAGTGTCTCTAGCTCCAGTGATTCAAGCAGTGCTGAGCTACTGAGGAGGGCTCTCAGTGAAGAGCCCTGCAGATCCCCATCTTAGAAGACGTGGGATGTTCAGTCCCAGACACAGGTGACACAACAGCCCGGACACCTGAACCTCCTTCTCCCCACACCCGGTTAAACCCCTGAGGCGCTCAGCAAGCCAGGTGTTCCAGTTAGGAATGCTTTTTTTTTTTTTTTTGGAGAGATTTTCACTGTAGGGCGCGTGCGCTCGCCAGACAGACAGAGAGAGACATAGAGACAGAAAGCGAGAAATCACCCCCCAGGGGGGATGGTCATGCCGCAATCCCTTCTTCTCCATTCTCCTCTCGGGATCTTGGGCATGCACGCACACGCGCCCGGCGTGAGTTTTAAGCCACCGGGTCTGGGACGCGAACCGCGGTCGACTACGTGGGAGTCCAGCGACATAGCCATTACGCTAACTGCTGGTTCCCCAGTTAGGAATGCTTTTGAAAGCAGTCCAGGTACCAGCAGGAAAGAAGTGAGGAGAAACAGGCTTCCCTTGACCAATGTCTCAGGGGAGGATGAGAGGAGGGCCGGGTGCCAAGGATGGCAGGGTGGGTGAACGAGGAGGACGGGTCATGCTGGGAGAAGATTCATAGAGCAGCCCCTGCCCACCACGGAGCTGAACTGGGGAGGGCCCCTCCATTCCCGGGTCTTAGTATGGTACCGGGACAGGCACCTCATTACTAATGTGAGCGTTTTTAATGACCATAAGCAGCTAGATAACATTTTATGATCTAGAAGTGACCAGAAAAATGATGCAGATTATGAGACCGACTCGCAGTGTCTGCAGCAGGGGATGGAGGCCGAAGCCCACAGACGGTATTCGTAGCCATCCTGAGGTCAGAATCAGGGTGCTTTACCCCAGTACTGCCTTGTCTCAAGCAAGGCATGCCTCACTTCGCGACCCACTTCCGCACCTAGGACTGGGTCACTGAGCTAACTGGTCAGTACGTCAGCTGCTGAAGGTGATGCTTGCACTGTGTCATGGCACCATAGGGTATTCAATAAACAGCACGTGACACTGCACCAGAATGGCATTCTACCCATAGCATGTATTATAGGCATATATTAGATAAGCTCCAGGAAGCAACAAGACAGCCCACAACACAGCAACAGAAATCCAGCATCACTGCTTTTATTTATCCTAAATACTCCCACAGGTGTGCAATAAGCCATGAATTTATAAACAACACAGGTGGTCTTGCATGACGAGGGGTGCCCCGTGACTGACCCTCGGTAGGAAAGAGACAAAGACGGAGGAAGGGGTTCCTGGCGCCGGAGACCTGGTTTAGTCTGGGTAGGCCATTAAGTGAGGAGTGGCTGCTATGGTGATACCTCGTAAGTTATTAATATATCTATTTTGATAATAAAAATTTCCTGACTCATGCCAAATGCTGTCTATTCATTTTACACTTAATGGACGTGAACACTTCTACCTTACAGCAGTGTGACTGCTGCAAAACGTAACTAAAATGCTTTTTCCTCGGTATTCTTTCAAATACATTTCTCTTCCCGCTTTCTTGGTCTTTTCATGGCCAATGTAGCTGCCTAAGTCTTTCTGGAAAATGCATCCTAAGGTTTGCTCCGGAAGAATCACTCACATCACTTTAAGAGTCTGGCTTCTCTGCTTCTCACGTGGAGGAAAAATATGATTTCTCTTTCATTCCCCACTGCCCTCCCCATCAAAACTGTAATCCAATCACCCTTTCATCTTTTTCAACAGTATCAGCATATTGGGATGCTGGTCCCAGCAGTCCAGTCTTCTGTACTTGGTTTCAATTTCAGTGCATATCACGTTTTTTCATAGAAATCTCAAGATATTTTGCACACCACATTGCTTTAACAATTGTTCTACTCTTTTTTATTTTTTTTAATTTGCTGCAGTCTGTATATATTTGCCAGAGCGAGACAGAAGAAGAGAGAAAGCAAGCAAGACAGCACTCTGCATAAAGCAGGGTCACACCTCAGTTCCTTCTCCACTTCTCCCTCCTTTCTGGGTTTTGGGCACAGACACAGGGGTGCTTGGTGTGTTTCTCAAGCCACCAGGTCCAAAACTCAAATGCATGGTTGGCCAAGTGGGATACGGGTTGCACCAATGTTCTCTGATTTTAAAAATGTGTTCATTATAAAAATAAATAAATAAATAAATAAAACTTTGGGGGGCTGGCAGGTGGT